CTTTCTTTCTTTCTTTCTTTCTTTCTTTCTTTCTTTCTTTCTTTCTTCCACCTCTTCTTATAATGTTGTTACAGGCAGAGAATTATAGGCTGTCCCTTCAGCCCCCCCCCCACTCTCTTTCCAACTAGAAGTGTTGGGAGAAGCAATCCTCCGTGGATCCCGTGTGCACCTGCACACACTCACTGGACATGCCAAGAATGCAAGGTTTTGGCCACTCTACCTGGGACACTTCTCAACTGTCTCATAGTCTAATGCAGCAGTGTATTTGCAGTTACGGTAGCCTCAGGATTGTATTTGCAGTGGTAACCTCAAGGGATGAGATAACATCTCCTTTCAGGGAAAGAGTAGGCTTACTTACCATACCCTGTAAAAGTGATAAATACCCCAAGGTCATTTATCCTCTCCTATAATTCAACAAAATGCATTTTCAGAAATCCATCTAATCCCACTTGTGTCACCCATGGGATTTGGGGAGTCATAGGAAATCAATGCCAACCAGTATGAAGCTCGTGCTGCCTACTGTGCAGTGAGCAATAAAGTCCTTTGTCTCTGACCCATAAGTTTCATGTCTTATGCCAGCATCCATCCATAAAACAGTAACAAGCTAACTTGTTAACTTGTCAATAGAGTAAAACATCAGACCCTTCACAGACCACAACAGAAAGTACATCTGGAAACTTAACAGCTCAGATGTCTTCAATGCAAGGATTATGTGGGAGTTGTGTAAGTTAGCAAAAGACACTCATGACATGTAACCTCTTTCTTCTTTTAAGAAGCCTATGCTGTAGCTGGAGAGATGAAACCGAGGCTAGTTCAAAACATGAGGGAATATGACAGCTCAAACTGCCTTCATCCTGGATATTCCATATTTCACTTCTCCACTCATCCCACTCCCAGGTGAACATTTATGTACTTCACTTCTTCATGCTTTTACTCTTCATTTTGATTATTGTAACTTCAGAATCATTGAATTTTATGGTATCAGTCAAAAATCGTCTAATGAAATTACCTCACACTCGAGAAGGTCTTGCTAATGGGCCCAAGTACTTGAAATCTATGAACCATGGCACCAATAACCTCATCACTATAGGGGTGGCCTTGCCAGTGGGGTGGGGATATTTGAAGCCCACTGGTTAGGCTTCATTTCCTTTTGACTATACTTGGAACTTCACTGAAATCATTTGATTTAGATACTTTCATTCTTCAGCTTCTTTGGATGACTTTTCTCCTCCCTTTTCTGAGTGACAGATAGCCCTTTGGAAATGTTCGTCCATTTAATTGGTTTAAAAGCCTATTCAGGAATATGCACTTTTTTTCCCTCAAATCTCTTATATGTTGATTTTTATACTTTGATAGTAAGAAAGAATTTTTCTTAGTTAAATACATTTAACTAAATTTTAGCTACATTTATTTGAACTATAAAATTAATACATTCATGGCAAAAAAAAATTCAAACACTATAGAAAGGTATTAAATGAAAAAGAAAGTCAATCTTTTCCTCCTCTTTTACCATACTTCATTCTCTCTTCCCAGATATAACAACTTTTAGCTGTTCCTGTGTAGGCTTTTAGATATTTTCTGAAATGACAACACATTGCAGAGGTTAACATTGATGATTTGGGTATGGTCAGAGGAAGGCCACTAGATGGTGGAGACTTTCATACCAGAAATCTTAAACTATGATGAAGGAGATGGGAATTTAGCCTAGGTTACATGAAGAGTTGGAGCAGAGAGGGCAAGGAGAGAAACTTTTGGAAAGTTGACATGTACAAAGGTGATGGGCTCTGAAAATGAAAAGAATGTGGGGAAAAGGAACTTAACTGTAATGTTTTAAGTTTTTAAGAAAGGGAATATGTTTGTATGTTACTTATGTAGATAAAATCGATGAAAATAAAAAGAAAATGAATCTGACTTCTCCAGATAGAGAATGGTAGATTGATGTATATAGTAGGTGGATTTCAGCTCAGGGGGAGGAGGAACTTTCTTATAAGGACTTGAGCCCATCGGGTGTTCTGACAGACGCTGAGTGAACAACCCTCAGCCAAGGCCCTTCCTGCACTAGGGGAGAGGAGGCTGTGATAAATGACCTCGAAGACTCTATTATACTATCATTCCTTAAACTAACAATTGTTGTTGACTTTGCACCAGGTGCTCTACTAGAAGGCTTACCGTGGGTTATCGCATTTAACCTCACCATGACTCTGTGAGGAAAAGAAATATTATTATCTACATTATTTCCATTCAACAGACAATGAAATCACAGTTCAGAGTCTTTTGTTTTGTTTCGTTTTGTTTTATTTATGCTAACCTGAACTTCTCCTCACCCCTGTTGCTTCCAATCCAAGTCTTGGTTTAAACATGGTGACTCACAGACACCAGCCAGTCACAACATTTTTTAACTGGAAGGATATAATATACTGAGAAAATTTGCCTGATGATGTAGTTTACATAAATGCTCTGAGGGGAGTTCGTCTTGAAGAAGAATAATCGATACCTACTGTTCCTGGATACCATGCGGGGTGCTAGGGATGCCATGGTGACTGAGACCCCAGTCCCTGTCCTCAGGGAGGTTTCAGATTAGTAGGCGCGGCAGGCAAGTTAACAGAACATTTCAAAGTAGCAAGCGCTTGGATTGGAGTTCACACAGAGAGTGAACCTCCCTCCAAATTTTGGGGGCTCAGGGAGGACATTCTAGAATGGAAGGGCTGTAAATCTGCAATTCTTACCTTGAAGGAAGAGGAAGAATTACTTAGGGTGGGAGGGGGCGGGTGGATCTTGAGATGAGCATTAAAAGGAAAAGGAAGGGTTGAAGCTACACTTTTGGCCAACTGCCAGAAGTTTGGTTTGGCTGGAAGGCACCGTGGGACGAGTCAGAGAAGCCAGGTCAGAGCTGGAAAAGCAGGCAGAGACTTTTTATGGCCTAGCTAACGAGTTTGGACCTCTTCCTGAGGGCAATGCTTACTTACATTTATATAATAGCTTTATTATGTATTTATAACGTAAAATTGCAGTTATACTCCCCTATATCCAACAATCACCCCTTCATATTTGAGTTAACTTTAAATTGGCTACGTTTGATCTAGAAGTGGAAAGTCCAGCCCTTTCCACATCTAGTTTAGGTAAGGCAAGGAACTGGAGCTTGTGTCGACATGGACATGCTGTCTCTTCAGACTACTTCACTCAACAAGCTTAAAACTCAGACTGAAAGCAGTGTCCCCACTAACCTTCATGGTCGAGGCTGGAGTGCAGCAGAAAGGGTCTGTCAGGAAAGGCTGCTTCCACAGATTCCAGCCATGGAGTTGATCACACAGATAGCTTGTCAGTGCCCCGCAGGTGGGAGGTTTGGGGAAGAGGAGAGGCAGATCAAGGAAGCACAGTCAGTTAGATGCACAACCTTGGGGGAAATCTTGCCTAAGTCTCCCATTCCTTTTGGAAGGCTAAGGGAGTAGACACAGCCCCCATTTCTCTCCCTTATGCTATTCCCCGGAGCTGGGTCCTACACCCCAGGCCTGGGAGCCCATCATGTGCCAGTTACCCTCCTCAAAATCATGCACTTCTTATGGCCATATCACACCTGGGGTAAATTCTGGAAATCCATTTTTGGACGGTTGTTTCTTGTTGGTGATCTATTTTCCTGTTTTGTCCCGTGAAGTATCCTGTAGAATTTGACAAAGAAAACCAACAGGCTGGTGGTCTGAGTTCTTAGAGAGAGGAAATATTTCGATAGAAAAACTCCTAAATAATTCCAAAATGACCTAAGTGTCCTCTTCTCTTTCAAACATTCTATTGACAAAAAAGCCTGTTGCTTATCCTCAAATGGCTCCTGCTGAAGGATGTCCGATATTGCAAGCATTTTCCCCATTTCTAATCTTATTTCATGATTTCCAGTTTTTCATGGGAAATATATGGCATCTGGTGAAATTATCTCATCCTCTCTTGAATTTAATTCCTTCCATCAGGGGACCCATGTAGATTTCCACTGACTTCACCAAAAATGCTGCATATGTGTCTTAGATCAAACAGTGCCCTGTGGGGTTCTTTATATCATAAAATAATTTTTTCACGAAGAAGCTTGCCCATGAACTATTTATGTATTCTAGTGATGAAGATCCTCCCTGATCCTGTGTGTGCTGGAGGCAATGGCAGCCCTCCTTTCCCCCAGTGAAATCTTATGCATGTTGAATAAAATAAGGGATTCGGAGGTTTCAGTTTTATAGTGAGCCAGGAGAGATATACTTTTTGAATGCATGCATAGGACTGTGAAGTCAGTAAAAAGACTCCCACGAGGAACATGGGATGTGTGGGGGTAGGACTGAATTTAAACAAGTTAAAAATAAGTACACACACACACACACACACACACACACATACACACACATACACACAAGCATACAGGAAAGATGGATCATAAAAATAGAAGCAAATGGCAGGCAGTTAGAAGACCAGCAGGTGTGAAAGATGACAGTGAGCAAGACTGGGTGCAGCAAAGGCAAGGTTTTCTAGGAATTGATCCGAGATATGAGCCCTAACTAATGCATGTCCATCCATGTTATAGTACTTCATGAGAGAGAGACTTGCCACAGAGTTCTAGAAACAGAATCTCAGTGATCCAGTTAGTGGGTCACACAGGTATGGACAGGACAGCTCATCCTGGAGCTAAAGATATGGCTTGAAGGAAATCTAAAGGGCAAATCCTTCCCAGGAGGTAGCCGCTGGCCTGGGGGATGAAGCAGATTCAAACTACCAAAGCTAGCATGTATCAAGTTAGATTTATGGCCAACTGAGTACTTGTAGCTCATCTACTAGTTTAGATTTTTATCCTGAAGTGCTCCCTACTGCAGTAAAGTACAATATACGTCCAGAATATCTGGTTCTACAATACACTATGTGGATCTTGGAGGAGACAGAGGAGAAAGGAAGAACTTGGGCTCCAGATTTGCACACTAGAAAGAACGAATATTTACATGCTTAAGCAGGGTATATTTGTTTCCTAACGTGTTATAACAAAGCACCACAACCTGGGTTCTTGCCTAAGACAATAGAAATTTATTCTTTCACAGCTCCAGATGCGAGAAGTCTGAAGTCAAGATGTTGGCACTACCGTTTTCTTCTGAGGGCACGGAGGGAGACTGTTTGATGCCTCTCTCCTAGCCTAGCTTCTGGTGACATCTGCCATGCCTTGCCTTGTAGATGCAGTGCTCCAATCTCTGCCTCCTTCTTCATGTGGTGGTCTTCTCATAAGGACACCAGTCATATGGGATTAGGGCCCACTCTACTCAAACATGACCTCATCTTAACTAATTACTTCTGTAATTATTTCCAAAGAGTTCACATTTGGAGGTACTAGGGGTTAGGACTTCAGCGTAGCTTCTGGGAGGATATAATTCAACATATGAAACAGGTCAATGGTGAACACAGAAACCCCTGGGAAGTTGTGCCATTGTTGACAGTTAAGGAAACTCACATTTCTGTCCGTGCAGCCTTAATTTGTGTCTGAAGCCATTCTAGTCTCCAATGAGGGGCTGAGGAATCCATGTGTCTCCTATTTATACTTGAAAAGTGAAAACAATGAAAAGAAACAAAATAATTATAGAGAGAGAGAAAGAGAAGGAAAAAAAATGGATGGAAAGTAAAGAAAGGTAAGAACTTTCAAAGTACTTTCTTGCTATCACAGATGTTGTGTCAGTTCAAACAAATCTTAGTATACCACTTAGATACGTGGAACTTCAAAAACAGAAACAAATATATATTTGAAACATGGAAGAGAGAAAAAATCCTCAATAAACATCATTGTAAGGGGAGTAAGTCGGAGGGGGAGACGAACCATGAGAGACAATGGACTCTGAAAAACAAACTGAGGGTTCTAGAGGGGTGGGGTGTGGGGGGATGGGTTAGCCTGGTGATGGGTATTAAAGAGGGCACGTTCTGCGTGGAGCACTGGGTGTTATGCACAAACAATGAATCATGGAACACTACATCAAAAACTAATGATGTAATGTATGGTGATTAACATAACAATAAAAAAATTAAAAATAAAAAAACAAACATCATTGTAACATTTTAGAAGGTAGCAGGCTAGCACATGAAATTCAAAGTGAATTTTAGAATTTCTGTTTCTGTGAAAGCCTGGTAGTTAAAGAATCCCAATAATGAATGGGAGTAGGCTCCAGTCCTGGCTGTTTCATCATTACTAACTAACCTGTTGCATCTTAACAAAATATGCCAATACCTCTTCTTCTAAGAGGAATCCAACCTTCCTTTTCCCATGTATGATGAGGCTCTAAATTATGCCTGCAAGCCCATGTGTGCAATATGTACTACATTGTTGCCCTTAAGGGTTTAATATAAATGTAATATCATGTTGTGCAAAAAGAATTTCCATGTGATTTAAAAACTAACATACTCGAAGGGAGCCATCATTTAAAACAGCAAAAGAATGCAAAAACCATTTGGCTGATTAGAACTGAGCCAATTGAGATCAACTACCCTGTCATCATTCATGCAGCAAAACATAAATACGGATCAGATGAAAGAAAATGTGCAGGTCAAATGTGATGTGTTGGTCCAAACTGTCACAATTGAAAGATAATGCTTTGCTTGAGTAGAGAGGAAGAAATAAATAGACATTTTCTAAACATTAAATACAGGAGTGAAACCAAAGCATCTGAACTGAAGCAACTGCCTCAGTCTAATGACTTCATTTCTGTCTTGTAACCTGGGGAAACAAGATGTCAAAAATAATCCATTAAAAAATGGAGCAAGAAATGTACAAGACGTCTATGAAGGAAACTATAAATCTTTACCAAGGAAATAAAAGAAGGCTTACATGAGCGGAAGGGCATGCCATGTTCTTGGTTGGGAATATTGCAGATGTCAGATTACTCCAAAGTAATCTATAAACTATACCTAAGCTCCAAATTCGAATGGGATATTGTATGGAATTTGAAGAGTTGGTTCTCAAATTTATCTGAAAGAATAGTTAATAGGAAAAGATTCAAAAGTAGAACAATTATGAGGGTCTTGCTTAATTAAAATAGGGGGGTACTGGTGTAAGAATAGAGAAATTGATCACTGAAACAGAACAAGATTCAGTCATTAATCTTTTCATACTTATTAATTTTGATTATGACAAAGGTGGCATTTTAAATCAGTAGGAGAAATAATGCCATGGGAAAAACTAGTAATCTATTTGGAAAGTGCTATATTAAAATGCTTTATCCAGCTCACGTCATTCCTTTAAAAAAAGTCCTGATGGATTGCAAGTGTGAGATGTAAAAATAAAATTACAGAAGTATTAAAAGGAAATGAAAGAATTTTAAAAATCATACAGGGAAAAGGCTTTCTCCCCCCCCAACCTAGAAGCTATAAAATAAAATGATAGATTTAATTACATAATATTTTTAAAGTTCTGCATTCAAGAAACATAAAAATGCAAGACTGAGCTGTAGAAAATATCCCATCACATAATATAAAGATTAATATTCAGAGTATACTAAAGAGCTTCTATAAATCCAGAAGAAAAGAAGCAATCTACGAGGATAAAGGTAAGGTCAAAGTAAGCACTTCATGATAAAACAAGTAAATTAAAAAGATGATATTCAAACAACCAGCAAATATATGAAAATAAATGCTCTCACTACCAGAGAAGTTTAAAGACAATAAAATATTTTGCCTATCAGATTAGCAAAAGTGAAAATAATGATATTATCTATTATTAGTGTTATGACTGGGGATACAGGCACGATCTGTGAGGAAGAATATTCCAAACTTTTCTTTGGAAGCAATTTGGTAATAACTTTAGAATACAAAATGTGCATATTTTTTGATCCCATAATTTGACTTCTAGTACTGTATCTATTCTAAGACAGTTCAAATATGCATAAACATAAATATACAAGGATATTCATTTCAGTGTTGTTTATAAGTAGGAAAAAAATTCAAGCTGAACAAAATGGCAATCAATATGGGCATGATTGAGCAAATGAAGGTATAGTCTTCGTGTATAATACTCTACCCAGCAGAATGGGCTAGGTTATACTGCTATGAGAAAACAGGCTCAAATTCTCTGTAGGTTAAATAAACAAAGCTTTATTTTATTTTTCACTCGTGATATTCACATATTCATCCAGCTCAACTAGGGGCTGTGCTCTGTGTCCTCCACACGCTGGGACTCAGGTGGATTTAGCAGCCATTGTTTAGAGCATTACCAGTCACTATGGCAGATGGAAAGAAAGTGCTGAATTGCAGACATTGAATCTTAAAGCTTCTACTTAGAAGAAATGTGTGTTGCTTATAGGCACATTTCATTTCATTAGGTGGCCAGACCTAACACCCTGGGCAGAGGAATTGTGTCCTGTTATCGAGTTGAAATAATCA